TTAATCCCCCACACCACAAAGATAAACGAAAAGCCCCAAAACAAGAAAACTTTAGACTATGTAAGTTAGTTTGGGGGTTTTTGTTTTTGTTTTTGTTTTTGTTTTTTGGTTTTTCTCCGGTACCGAGAACCAAACTCACGACCTTGCGCATGCCAGGCAGGCGCTTCTGCCGCTGAGCTAAATCCCCAGCCCCGGGGGGGGGGGTGGTGGTTTGTTTTTTGAGACAGGATCTTGTTGTGTAGTTCAGGCTGGCCTTGAACTCACTATGTAGCCCAGGCTGGCATTGAACTTAAAGTGATCCTCCTGCCTCAGCCTTACAACTGCTGGGACTACAGGCGTGCGCCCCTACACTTGACAGTTATGCAGTTTATAAACATCAGAAGTTGATTGTTCACAGTTCTGGACAGGGAAAAGCCCAGCCTGTGGCACCAGCAGATTTGAAGTCTGCTGAAAGATTCCTGTTTGTTTCCAAAATGGCGACTTGTTTCTGCACCCTCGAATGGCAGAAGCAACAGGTGGCTCCGTCATGCCTCTGTCAGAGCACCAGTGCCATTCATCAGAGCCACCTCTTGATAATATTGCATTGGATTTTAGATTCCAGTATAGGAATTTAGGCAGGAATCCAACATTCAGGTCAAAGCAGTGACACATTTGCTGGTTGGCTCTATTAGTCAGTTTTCTGTTACTGTGATAAAACATCTAAGGGTGAGGACTTACTAAGAAAAACGTGTTGGCTGGGTGTGGTGGCACACACCTGTAATCCCAGCACTTGGGAGGCTGAGGCAGGAGAATCACTGCAAGTTTGATGCCATCCTGGACTACAAAGTGAGTTCAAGGCCAGTCTGAACTGCATAGTGAAACCCTAGCCCAGAAAGAAAGGAGGAAGGAAGGACGAGAAAGCTGTGTCTGGCTTACTGCTTGGACGCTGCGAGGCTAAGGTCGGGCAGCCCCGTCTCTGAGGCTGCTGGTGAGGGTGCCGGGGCGGGTACACTGTTCTTACAGCACTCGCTCTCCTGAGAGCTGCGTGCCTGCCACCTCTCCCTGAAGACTTCAAGAGCTGGGCACGGCCACACTGGGACCACTGTGCCCGCGTGGGAGACACTAGGCCCCATCTCGCCGCCTGGCCCGGCTAATTGGCACCAGGAAATAGCAGTCATGAGCGGCTCACCGTTTACTCAGGTCTTCGGCTGTTTCTCGTTTGTTTAGATTTAGAAGGCTGCACATCACTTGGAAGATTGCACAGGGGTTCTGGCTTTTAGTTTGGTTTGGTTTTGTCTGTGATGGGGAATCAAACCCAGGGCCACACACGTGCTAGATGGGCACTGAGTCACGGAGCTGCAGGTCTGTGCTCTGGAAAAGGGCTTTTAACATGTTGCTTTATTTTTATCAAGTATTTCTCTACTTCAGAAATGTCTCATTGGCATTTGCATTAAATATGATGGTGTTTTTGTTTTTGCAGTGCTCAGTGTTTACACTGAGCCCCAGGCCTTTTTTAATTTTTTTTTGAGACAGGATCTCACTGAGTTGCTTAGCTCAGTCCTGCCTCAGCCGTCCAGAGTGCAGGCATCACAGGCCTGTGCCACCACAGCTGCCTACAGATGCACTTTTTTTTTTGGTGGTGGTGGTTGTTGTTGTCAGGGTCTCGCTGTGCAGTTCAGGCTGGCCTTGAGCTCACTTTGTAGCCCAGGCTGGTCTCGAACTCTCAAAGATCCTCCTGCCTCAGCCTTCTGAGTGCTGGGATCACAGGCATGCGCTTACAAATGCACTTCTAAAAGTTTGATTAAGGGCTGGCATGTAGCTCAGTGGTAGAGCACATGCTCGGCATATATATTGCCCGGGATCCAATTCTAGCACCCAATAAATAAATAAATGTTTTTCAACTCCAGGGTTAGTCTTGGATGCTTTCTTCTTGGAGTTGTATAATTTTGGGTCTTATGCTTAAATCTGTAGTCTGTTTTCATGTTAATTTTTGTTTGCAATGTGGATATCAGTCACTCCCAGCGTCAGCCTCCCGAGAGCCGGCATTACAGGCATGCACCGGTGCCGGGCAGACCACGTTCTTCTTTCAAAATTGTTTCGGCCACATAGGGTCCTTGATAGTCCAATGTGAATTTTAGGATGAAATGTTCTGTTTCTACAAAAAACGCCGTTACTCCCATTGGGTGGGCAGTACCCCGAACACTCCTCCCAGTGCCTCTGAAAGAGAGAAATACCCAAAAAAGCCAGGTGTGAAAGATGCAAGTAATACCGAACAAGAAGTGGTGTAGTTGGCTCCTCGACAGAGCGGTCCCTGCAGTCAGGTTAGGGCTGGAGGCAGGAGGGGAGACCCGGCACTGAGCGCCCTTGCTCTGCCGCTGGTCTCTCTCAGCGGGTGCCGGCGAGTCCGTCACCAGAACCTCACGGGATCCCCCTGGCGATCATCCTCAGGCATGGTCTTCCTGTGTAAGTTACGTGGGCGTGTAGGATTTTTCTGACAGCTGCAGGTGTATATTCCCCTCAGGTCTCCTTGCTTTCGTCCGGGAGGCTTTAGCCCAACCAGGGTGCGTAGCAGAAATCTAAGAGAAGTGTCAGAAGGCCCCGTGTGGTGAAAGTTGAGCCATCATACCAAGTTAGAAGAAAACGCCAGGCTGGAAGGAGCCTTGTGCACTCGTGTCATTTTTATTGGTTCCTTTTCCAGAACTGAGCGTGTGTTCACCGTGGCCTTTTGTTCTCGGAGTTTGGTGGGAAAAGTGGGAGAGCCAGGCACGGTAGTGTCACGACCCGCACAGCCAGCTCCTGAAAGGGGCAACTGGAGAGTGAGAAGAACCTATAGACTCGAACTAGAGGGAAAGCGGGCACGGGGTGGACCGCCCTCTGATGGGGAGGCAGTGACAGCCCAGCACCGTCTGCCCCTTCGTCTGTACACTGTAGAAAGCGGGGAAGCGCGGAGTGGGGCCGAAAGTGCAAGCCTCAGTGTTTTGCTGCGAACCCTGAAAGCAAAACATTGTCAGAGCTGTCTGTGCTGCAGGTAGCAGGGAGGAACCCCAAGGCCAGACCCCTGCTGGACCGGCCCTGCTCTGGTCCCAGCAACGTGTTCACACGGCTCGCCTCGGCGCTTTGTGTTCTCGGGGCTGGCCTCGCGCTAGCCCGGATGTGTGGTCCTTCTCCAGCTCAGCCACTCCCCACGTGGTGGTACACGCTGGCCGTCCCGGCACTGTGGGAGACAGGTGGAGCATCACCTGTTCAAGGCCAGCCTGAGCTACAGAGTGACACCCTGTCCTGGCAATGAAAAAAATACATATATGTAAAAGCAGCTAGCTGGTCCTGGT